ATAGAGAATGAAACATCTAGAGCTATTCCTGGAATTTTCTGTGCTTTCCCCCATCATCTTTTGGTTATATCTTGCCTGATAAAAAGGTCTGGAGAAGTTGAAAGTATGCTCAATGCTTTTATGACATTGTGCTTGTTTTTAGTGAAAATATTACCTGACCATGGATTTTAGATTTGGGGAACATTTTTCCTAATAGGGCAACACAGCTATAATTGTTTTTAATATTTCACTCAGACCTATAACCTGGCAGATAAGGAGATAAATGTGATCTGTTTCACTTTCTACTGCAGTTAGAAATAATATAAAATGTGTGTATGTATTATTTTATATATAATGTTGTATATACATATATATGTTCTGTGTGCATGTATTTATAAAGGTAAAGTCTCCTTCAAATTGAGTTTGACTCCTGGTGACTACAAGGAAGTGGTTTGCCATTGCCACCTTGTCGGATTGTGGTTTTTCAGCCACACAAATGCTAACCATGTTTGTCACGGCTTAGCCTTTCCAGCCCAAGTAGGGTGTCTAGATATAGCCATTAAAGTAACTATGTAGGTCCAATATCTTCATTTTAGTTTTTGACTAACATAGAACAACAACCAAGATTATGGGATTAACAACTATAACACAGAAGTGTTATAATATATAAAACAACAGTAGAATTGTAGGCATGAGCTGTGTTGAGCCTGACTGGCAATACATGGAGAATTCTGGACACCATGGCACAGATATTAGCAATACGTCACAAGGTGGTAGAAGTCAGAACTAGTAGGGAGTTTTAAAATTGGCCTGTGCCACCAGGAAACCTTGTGAATAGGGGGAAATAAGGGTCCCTAAAAAATGAGCAGGAGAGGATATGCTCCATAGTTTTAATTTGCCTGGGATTGAAGGGCCACAGATATTCTGGGAAGGGAATTTCCCTATACAGTGGTACCTCGGGTTACGAACGCCTCTGTTAATGAACTTTTCGGGTTACGACCAGCTCCGGCTGCAAAAATTTACCTCGGTTTGCAAACTCTGCCTCGGGGTACAAACAGGATACGCGGCCATCTTCCCTCCCATGACACGGTCCGTGGCCATTTTTCCGCCCCTGACACATGGTCCGTGGCCATTTTTCCGCCTGACACGTGGTCCGTGGCCATTTTTCCGCCTGACACGTGGTCCACGGC